ATAAACATACAGCACCATACCTTTGTAGTAAACATTCAGCACCATACCTGTGTAGTAAACATACAGCACCATACCTGTGTAGTAAACATACAACATTATACCTGTGTAGTAAACATACAGCACCATACCTGTATAGAAATCGCCAAATATCGTTAAGTACATAAGGTGTAAGAACAGTATCTCAGATTTATTATGAAATTCCCTAAATATACCGAAAACATTTCACCTTTATGAGGGCTTCGCTCCCCAGTCTGCCAATCGAGATTGTACATGTATATATATATTCATTAGGAATAAGCAATTTTCATGTCAACTCAGCCCCCAAGGGTTTATTCTCTTTTCTCCCACTTTTTTCTGATCAAAGGAATTATATAAACACTGGAAAACAATTATAGTCTGTTCTGGTATAGTACAGGTAGATTATTTACTTGTATTTACCTGTTCGCCATTAGGAAATACTGTGTTAGGTTAGTTATACGAATATTTAACAAATGTATTTCCTGATTTTCGTCATATCGCCCCCCCCCCCCCCCCCCCCCCCCCCCCCCCCCCCNGCCCAATAAGGGAAATAGAGGTAAAACCTTTATTTATAATCCTTCTTTTACCATAGGGATTGAAGGATATTAACTAATTTAGTTTGGAGCCTCCTTGGACATAAGGGAATCAGCCTCGTATAAACAGCGAGTGTGGCCCCCTGGGGGCAGAAAGGTGGGGCCCAATAGGGTAAACATAGCAAATTCTTCAAAATTCTACTCCTTCTATAGGAAAGACAGGAATTTGTCCAAATTTAGTATGAAGCAGCCTTGGGTGAAGGGTAACACATTTTGTATAAACGGTGTGTCTGAACATTAGGGGCATAGGGGTGGGGCTCTGTTTGAAGTTTGTTCTCGCTATATCTCAAGTACTTGTTGAACTCATACGTCTCACTCCTTCTTTCTATGAAAGTCCCCTATTGGTTTTACCCGTTTCAGCTTTTTCTTCTTCTTTTTCTGCCTCTTCCTCTTCTGTACTCAATTTCATCTTCTTCTTCTTCTTCTTCTTCTTCTTCTTCTGTTTTTTCCAGAAACTACAGTATGATCAATTTCAGCAGTATTGGTAGACAAACGTAGAATAGCAAGACATTCTGTATTTGTCCACTGCACATCAAATATTGCCGTCGCTGCTTCCAATTGGCTAAAATGAGATACGAAGCGATGGTAGTCTTTTTTAGTTGGGGGAATCTATCAAAGCCATCGTTAAAGTTACATATTGTTACGTTTATAGTTGTACTTGTCAAACCTTTGCCTCAAAGTTCGCCGTGAGGTTAACGATTATCACCAACAGGATGAAAGAGTTGAACATCCTTTTATATTTTGTTTTGTAATATAGAACAATTATATCTTTAACAATGTTGCTGGATAGTTTTACAGTTTGTCAGACTGCAAACCATGAATCATCTCACATTATTAATATGTGTGAACACACCGTAACTGCGACAATGCCTGGTGGTACAGTACATCCTATAAAACAATCCATACAAGTGCTTAGTCCAACGAACTGTTAGCGTATAAAGTAAAACAAATGCATGAAGTGCAGGATTGATGTTTTTTTTTACTCGATTTTTGTTGCAGGTTGTCGCCAATGATTCTGAAGTTTTCCATGATGTGTCGACAGCACCGGTTAGACGGGTTTGTGATAGAGGTACCACGTGATCCTTACGCCAAAGATATAGAGGTTAATATGTACATATGCATTTCAGGTGCGGTTCGATAAGTGCTAAATTTATTTTGAACACAAACAGGAGATGAAAACGTTCTTAGCAAGCTTTTGAAAACGTCTGTTTCCTTATAATCCAAGTAATTGGTTTTTCGACTCTATACCGCAAAAAACAACTCACTAAGCCACAATGTGACTTAACCCTAAAGTCAGTTATTCAAAAATATCCAGACGATTTGTCCAATACTCCAGGCAGTCGTGAAGAAGCGTACTGTATTCACCATAACGCACCTTGATGGATTAAAATAATTTGTGTTCATTACATATTTAGCTTTTATTATTCATACAAAACTGATGCATCTCATTCCGAATGTTAGAGGTGTGGTACATCTGGTCTGTTTCTAGAGGTGTGGTACATCTGGTCTGTTTCTAGAGGTATGGTACATCTGGTCTGTTTCTAGAGGTGTGGTACATCTGGTCTGTTTCTAGAGGCATTAGATATCATGTTATGGTGACCTTTTCTTCACCTGTCAGTGTCACGATATCTAAATTCTCCGTTTCAGAACAACAAGTCGGAAAAGTTCACCATTAAATAACCCATCAATGATATAATAGTAGACCTATAGCATAGTGCAGCGGATTGTTGAATTATATTGTAGTTAAAAAGTTAAAATCGTAATTTGGTTTAGTTTAGTTTAATGCAGCATAGCGATATACAGAACCCAAATGTTCAGAGAATGATTATCACAATGAAAAACCTAAGCCAATTTTTGTTTTTCTCCTGAAATTGCTTCTTTTTTTTGTCAACAACTAAATATTAACAATCACAGTCCCAATGCAGATAATTCTACCGTAGTCGTTCATACATATATTCTTGCAGCTACCTGCAGAAAAAATATAAAAACGCCACTCAGAATTTCTTTTATTATGAATAACGATAAGAAAGACCGGAAGTACATAACACACAATTCCACGTGACTGGTGTGACTTATGAATTTAAAAACAAACGTCATCGTGTAAAATTCCCCGAAAAACAGATATTAAATCAAGTTTCAAGAATCATTCCCTCAACCCATACAATGGCGTTAATAACACAGTTTCTGTTTTCTTTCAGTGTTTTGCTGACACTTTGCGTCGAGTTCTACAAGTTCTTTCTGATCTTGATCCGAAAGGCTCTAAATGTATGGATGCAATGGAGACTAGAGGTCAAAGAGGATGGGTGTTTCAGTTTAATGATATCACCTATTTTATAACGACGTTCGCCCCGTTTTATCCAGACGCGAATGCGCGTTTCGCATTCGGAGGTAATAATGGATTCATTTTGCTCCAACCAGAACTTAGCTTTGCACTGCATAACCTACCGCCTGATACCCCGTTTACGAACTGGGACAGGCCAAAGACAGTCCGGGATAGGATACGAGTTGCGTTTCGAGACGCCGGAAGGGAGTATGAGATTCCTTCCTCTCTCTTTAGGCCTCTAGCCTGGGATATGGTTCGTCCGTTACAGAATGGGGGACCTGTTGTGAGATGGTGGCAAAACACAAAAGAGGATTGATGTTGTCATTAGACATCTTGCATGGGATGTTGTTCGCCAATAACACAAAGAGGGATCAGTTGTCATATGGCGGCAGAAAATAAAAGAGGTTTGATATAATCTTAAATCCTCTTGCTTGGACTATTGCTCGCCCATTACACGTCGAGGAACAAGTTATAAGACGGCAAAAGAAAATAAATAAGGATGGATGGGAACTTTTGACCTCTTGCCTTGATTATCGCCCGCCCATTACACAATGTGGAACAAGTTGATTGATGGTGACAGAAAATTAATGAGGATTGATTTAAGTGAAAATGTATTTATTTATAGTCAAATCTGTTTCTAAGGAAAACGACTCCATTTCTCTGGATTGTGCGCATGTGAAGATATAATATTTCGTATATCTTCACTGCATTATGATATGGGTGTTTTTATCAAATGGCGAATTCATGATATTTCACTAATAAACTGTAATAGATACAGATGACATTTTATTTTATTGAAGATAGTATGCGGCCTTAGTTTCCCAGAAGGCTTCCCAGAAGGCTTCCACGGATAGGACTGAGGTCACAATCAAATGCTTCCGGGTTTAGTTCCCGGATTCTGTACCCACGAATGAATTCCCTAAGGAATATAGGTATTCTAGTAAAAATATACTATACCTCTTAGAATTTGGTATTTGTGTAAAAGTTTGGTGTTGAAATACTATGGAGATAACAATCTAACAATTTCTGTGGTAATTTGTTTTATTTTGTCCATGCATATTTTGGTGAAGAGTTTGTTTGTGAAGAGTCCTGTGTTTACATCTACCCTTGACCAGGAAGTTTATATTTCATATTGGTGACACATGCAGACGATTATCTCAAGAAAAAGGCCAACATGCTATGTCGAAATTTTGATCTTTTACTCCCAAGATGTTGCTCTTGACCAGGTTAGATGGAAAGTTGGCCATCGGATAATGGGAATTTGTTATGAAATTAAATGTTACAATGAAACAAATAGTAAAATTAATTGTGGTCTTAGTCCTGATAAAATTGTAGCAAACAAGGGGAAGCACCGGGAGTGAACAAAGTGTTTACAGATCAAACCCCGGCGGCGCTTCGTGCCGCTTGGGGGTTTGAAAAATACTGTTTCAAAATACTTCATTTTATTATTGACGTACTATTCTTTGTTGCGACCATTATTTAGAAAACAACGGGAGGTAACAGGTGCTTGATACTACGTGATAAACAAACTCCTGATTCATTCATATTCCAAGCAGATGTGTTTACGTGAAAATGCCATTTCACTGGATTGATTGCCACATCTTTGAACCGGTAGAATGACATATTGAGACTGAAAATGGCTAACCAATCTTCCACCAATTAAAAGGTGAATGTAAAATATGTAGGTACAGAACAGCGAGTACTAATTTCAATACACATACGCATTATTTTATCGAATTTTGTTTTGCTCTAAAAAGAGTTTAAAACCTTGTTAGTCTATGCTTTCTCATGCCATGAATTAATTGGAAAATCTTCGCTGCAAGCGTGCATTTTGTAGGTTGAAGATTAAGGTTGGACTATGATCTGTTTAGGATGTAGGAATATTCAGCAAACAATTCAATATAAAGATTTTTTTAATAAGATTAAAACACATTTTAAGGCAATACACAACATTTTTTTAAATTATGCATTTCTCTACGGATAGGCCATCCTTTGTTGGGCCGCGGTGGCCAAGTGGTTAAGGCGTCTGACATTCTGCTACCACTAGTCCTCTTTCACTAGGTCGCGGGTTCGAAACCTACGTGGGTCAGTCGCCAGGTACTGGCCGTAGGGCGGTGGTTTTTCCTTGGGAACTTCGGAATTTCTTCCACCACCAAAATCTGGTACGTCCTTAAATGACCATAGCTGTCATAAGGACGTAAAACACAAAGACACCAAACCAAAAACCAATCAACAAAACCATAGTCGACCCAAATAGAAGTGGCCGTGTTGTAAAACTGGCTATCTATTAATATGCAATCATTGCTGTTACTCTGAGTGTTTGCTTGTTGACTGTTCATCGTACCTTACATTAACAATGATCAATATATAATTTATATACACAGCCATATATTACGTCTCTCACAATTTTGATTTGATTGCAATATGAATGCCCGTTTCATAAGTGCAAAGGTTCCTAAAAGTCGTTTAATAGACAGTTGTGAACTACCAAAAATATATTTAATGGGTAATAAGCAACGCCTAAGGGATGATGATGTTGAAGCTGTACGAATTCACTGTCGTCTTACCATAAAGAGGCGATGTAGCGACCCATTGGTGGTAGAACAGAGTAGTAATTGACCATAAATACAATCTATCAGCAATAAACTACACCATATCGTATTTCATTTTATTGGATCTGAACAGGTCATAAAATAGGAGAATGTTGATCGCTTCGGAAAAGTCATTACGGTGTTGACATTTTAACAAAAATAGAATAATATGATAATATTTGCATTTCTTTAGATCTGGTCATTATGAATGAATCATTAAAATGTTGATATTCAACCTCATATCGGCTAATACAAAGACTTAATGAGACAATATGTCATTACGACATCTCCTAATAAATTTTTATTTCGAATTCGTCCGAGATATCACGACAATTATACAGAATTATTACCAGAATTTGTAAAAAATAATTAAAAAATATTCATACCAAATATAATGACTGTTTACGTGTATGTTCAATTATTATGACACGCCATGTTGAGAAATTACAACTTTTAATAAACAGATGTTCATGAAGACTCGTGTTCAATTATCTTCTAATGATGTCAGATGCATTATAGACATCGCAAATGGAGAACAGATACATGTATTTACATGTGTAAGTCGAGGAGCCTGTTCTGGTCACTGGGATTGCTAGGACTGATACGATGTGCATACCTCATCACATTGTACGATACATATCACGGTACGATGCGTACGGTACGATACCTATCACGATACACAATTATTTATTGCATGATACATGTATTGTAGAGTTTTGTAAAAGTCTCTAACATGATACAATACACAAGAAAATATAACGACACGACACATTTAATGTACTGCTGCACCCATACATGCATGCACGGCTACACTGTAACCGACCAGAACACGTGGGGTAGGTTCAACTCAACAACCAAATCCTTCAAATTCTTCCTATTCACTCGTATTAAATTCAAATTGTGATCCTTTATTCAAAAATAACCAAACTGTATTCCATCTATTGCATTGCATCCCTCTTGGAAAACGCTAAAATTAATGTTGACGCTAACCAACCATTTGAAACATTTGATGTTCCTCCATTGCTTTTGATTTCGCTCAAGGTTGACTTTTCAAACAGTAAATCTGACACTGAATTTTAAGCATTTTGTTCATCTTTTTCGAGATTGCAAATATAAGTACTTTCAATCCTTTTATAATGATGGTGCGAAAGATGAACATAAGGTCGCCACAGCAAGAGCTGCAGCATATGCCGCTAATGGATGGCGGCTAATAAATGATACATCAATATTTTCTGCAGAAGCCTATGCTATTTATTTTGCCCATGAGCACATTAAATCAAATCGTGTACCGAAGTCGATCGTCTATTCTGATTCCTTATGTATTCTACAGAAAATCTCAATTAGTAAAATATTAACAGTTTAACTTAATATTACCTAAAATTGTCACATAACGTTATGCTGGGGTTCCAAGCATGTGGGGATACCAGGTAATGAAAAGCAAAGTGTGTCACCATTTGACAGGTTTTGGACCGTTAATAACACATTTTGTAACTTCAAAGTGGCGAAATAACTGAAATCAATGGGTAGACAATAACGGCACCATGGAAAACTTAAATCGGTGAACGGTTTCTTAGCTTCAGGGAAAACTGTCGAGACGAGGTTGTCCTTGACTGTCTTCGGATGGGTCATTCATACATTACCCATTCATATTTATTAAAAAGCGAAGACCTGTCTCAGTGCACGAACTATTTACAGTGAAACAATTGTTATTAGATTGCAATTACCTTCGGTTAACAAAAGATACATGATATTACAGATCTAAAATATCTTCACGAAACTGTATAAATCTTTAGAGTTTTAACCTACCTAAACATTATAATTTTGTTAAAAAAGGTATCACTAACCATAGCCACTTTTTCTTTTCAAGTTGATATTTGTGTTTCACCTTTTCGTTTGTTTTACTTCATTTGTCTACTTTTCTTATTGGCTTTAACAGATGGCATTTAACACAATCACAATATCTTATTATTTTACTGATTTATCCACTGCCTTGTCAAGGTTAATTTACTTTGTAGTTGGGTTTTTTTCATATATATTTTTCTTCATATTTTTTTATTTTTTTCATTTTTGATAATGTTTCCCTTCCTTAGATTACTGACTAAAGGTTTAAACCAATTAAACATTTATGATGCTGTTTATTTTGGTTGGCGAAGCAATCTTTTCGATGATGATACTGACCGTTCCAATGGTATGGTGTCATACGTTTTGGTTTTGATGTCGACTTTAGTCATTTCGATGATTATGTCCACGAATTTCATGGTTTTATCGTACTATTTTAATGATAATGTCTGCGTTTCGATATTGCGATGGTGATTGTTGTCATAACTATGTTGATCATTTTGAAGATATATATCATAGCGAGTGAGCCACAATTTAATGGCACGATGTCAATTATTTCTACAAGATTTCAATCCCTTTGATAATAGTTTCAATAATTTTGATGATGCGATGCGATTTTTTTAATCTATATTTTCATGGTAATATCATTCGTTTCAATGGAGCTATTTCAATCATATAGTTATTAATGATGATATTATGATCAAATAAGGGGTTGCGGTGGCCAGGTGGTTAAGGCGTCTGACATCCTGCTACTACTAGCCCTCCACCAATGGGTCGCGGCTCGAGACCTACGTGGGGCAATAGTCAGGTTCAGGCCCGTAGGTAAGTGTTTGTTCTCCGGGAACTCCGGATTTCCTCCAGCACCAAAACCTGGCACGTCCTTAAATGAATAAAGCTGTTAAAAGGACGTAAACCACAAACATACCAAGCCAAACCAAACCTTTGATACTGTTGTATTTCATTCTGATGGTGCGATATTCGGGTTTTTTCGAAAGTGAAATCATTTCTTTTAATAGCGGTGCAATTTTTTTAAATGTTGCTGCCATCTTTGTTTTGATGGCAATTTCAGCGGCTGTGCTGTATCGATTAGATAGAAATTAATATCAGTTATTTTAAGGTTGATGAAGATAGAAAAAAATGGGGGATGGAACGTTCTCGCAACATCAAGTGTCATAGAAAGATTTGAAACAGCCGAATGGAAATAGTTGATTTCTTAAAGGAATAATAAGAGAGTGACTAGGAAGTAAACCACAAGTCTGAAGGAAAGATAGGTTAGTCGCCTCTTACGATCATACACAGTGATGCAGCAAATCTATTCTTTCTCATTAATATGTTGATATTTTATTGAATACTCAATGTGTACGGTCTGAGAGGTACAAAAGTAGTTTACTTTTAAAATACTGCATTAATAGACAATAGTTAATAATGTGTCTGGTTTCTGTGGAAAATGCATACGCAAATACAAAACATGTGTTAATATGATTTAATGAAAGAGTTTAAACACAACGCAAAAAGCAAACAGCA